TGTCGAAGGACCAAAAATGTAGTCGAGACCTTCATTTACGTGCTGGTTCACTAAACATTCACTCATTTCATAGTTTTTTAAAACAAATATTTAATAAAAACGATAAATAACAACTTCAACGCGGCCATGTGTTTTCCGCCTTATTTTCCGTCTAATTAATGTACTTTATGTCGCCAAAATGGCGTTAGTTTGTCAACTGTTCGTTTTCGCTCCGACAACATATCTCTATGTTAATCTATAAATAAATCTATTAAAGTTTATGAATGTATTTCTTACGAATAAGTTATCTCGTATAAAAGTTAAAGACAACCAAAAAAATTATTTTCTCACTAAAGAAGGTTTATAATGATCTCTAAAATGTTGTTACAGATTTTTCATATCAAGCTTAAGTGCTTATAATAACTCCTGAAAATCTTGAATTATTGAAGATATACCAGTGAACTGGATCAATGCATGATACGTCAAAGCGGGCTCACGCAAGTTTTTTTACTTGAACAGCCAGTGATCAATATGGACCTGCAAATCACTTTTGGTTGCTATTTCAAATTTCGAATTGAATAAAACATAAAGTAAACAACTTTTCATTGTTACTCAGCAACTTAGAAGTAAGGTTAACCCCATTCCTGACGTCGCCAAAACGATAGTTAATGAGTTTATGGATTAATCCAAGATAGCGGACAGCTCATTGTTTTCGGTTAAACTATTTGAAGATCAACAAGATTGGAATAATCTGTAACAAGATTTTATAGATAATTTTAAACGTTCTTTCAAATGTGACAATAAAATTTTTTGGCACCACTGTCCTACAAGTTAATAAGTTATAATTATTTTAAGCTCTTCATATGAGCAATCACATCTAGGCCGTAGGATGAGCATCCAAAAGATGCAATTCCGTTGCACCCCTCGTGGAACTACGTAATTTTCACATGAATAAATAGATAAAAACTTACTTTATCAGAATCCGTTGTTCCCCAAGTGAAACAGGTGCACAATTGGGAGAAAAATCCCTCCAAATTTTGATATTTTCGCGCTTCGAAATATTCGAACCGCCATTATCTTGGTAGCGAATACGCATGCGCAACTCAACCAAACACGCACTACGCACTGCGCACGCGCAGACTATAAAAATAGATTCTAACTGGGGGTTTTCCCGATTTCCTCCGCAAAAACAACAAAATAAAATCACGGAATACTGATCAAACCTTGTAATATTAACGAATAAATAATACCATGGATAATAAAATAAATGGATAGGAAACTCGCTGACGTGACCTAATGTTTTTGCTGTGATTGATGGCGTGGTTGGATGCCTCAACCTAGTTGAAAATCAAATTCTCAAAAACGGCATGTTTAGCAATAATACAGCTAAACATTTTAGTCAAAGAGCAGATAAATATAACCACGCCATTCTACGAT